TGTCATTTTCTATTATGGATTTTGTTTGCCAAGGGATGGAATTTCTTGCCTCCAGATTGATATACTATGACCTATATTGCGATCGATTAGAACTTTTTGTATCGCATTCGTGATTTCTTCTCTACCTCTGTCGGTCCATCACGTGGGGGCGCCCTCTGTCACGTGATTTCACCCTCGCAGTCCTTGGGAGAGACCTCTGGCTTAGCCGAAATCCTGCGTCTTGCCCTCTGCCCCGTTCTATTTTATTTTTTGTGCTAGAATCTACGGTTGTCGTGTCTCGGCGAATGTTGATCTAGCTAGCCTGTTTTCAGGTTTCTATAAGATAGTAAATATATAGTAATATCCATACATATATTACCATCGGGATATACTCCCCTATCTAGTTTATGAATTTTGTCTGTAATTGTATATACCTACTGTAACCTCTACTAACATATAATAAGTCTTCATTACTGTAATATATATAATCCATAGTAACTAATTAAAAAGTATCATAATAACTCACCCTATAAGTTAGCTTTTACACATAATATATATATCATCTCCACTTACTCACATCTAATTTATTATAAGGTTTTTATGATGACAAACTAAATTAACCCTTCATATCACACCACTCTATCGTCTATATGCTGTGTGTGTGTTGTGTGTTGTGTGTGTGTCTAATATAACATCGCGTACATGTAATCCCATATCAATACATGTGTATAATCTGAGTATCGTAATGTATATGATATTAATTTATACTAAGACATTATGATCGGTATAAATCACCTACTCCAGGGTGTGTTTGCACTATGGTAGAAAAAAAAAAAATGGATGCACAAATCACTACATTACGTGAAAAAAGAGCTGAGACATATTTCTACGGATCCTCGTCCTCGATCGTTCATCTTCGGGTTTGTACCTGAATGGTTAATATATATCTATAGCGAGTATCTCTATATAAGTCTATCTAACTAGTACTATAGAGTACCTATAAGGCCAAGTCATCAGTATATAATATATATTATAATCATCTAAGTTCATCATACCTACATATATTATAATTGGACACGTTTGTATATATGTAGAGTGAGAGAGGACTATATATAAAGTAAAGCATTTGCTCCTATAGTGAATATAATATATATAAACTTCCTTATTATCCAGTCACCATATTATTTAATAATAGTTATATATGAGTCTGAATACTATATTGATATAATTACGTACTATGATATTATATATCTCCTTATACCCCTATATACTATACTTGATCCCTCCCAATCCTCTTCATGGTCGTGTACCGTCGTCGCCAATGATTCCGAAACGACCGATCTCTCCTCGTTTTCGTTCCGCCTCGGTCGCTCCGGGGCGGACTCACCCCTGGGGAACCCGCCGACAGCAACCGGACTCCTTCAGTGTAATCTCAGGGCCTCCTCCTCCGCTGCAGAAAAGTGTGCGTCCAGAGACTGAGGGTTCGAGTCAATGCTTTTGTGTCTGCGGTCTATGTTTGCTTGTGTGTGTGTTGTTCGTTTTGTGTGTTGTGTGTGTGTGTGTTGTGTATGTGTGTGTGTGTGTGTAGGTGTTGTGTGCGTGTGTGTGTGTGTGGTATGTGTGTCATGTGGTGTTCGTGTGTCCTGTGTATGTGTGTTTTGTCTTTGGTTTTTATCAATATACCGTTTCGAATAGTCTCTAATATCTATATCACCCTTTCTCACAATGAAGCAAACAACACAGCATAACTTCATCCGAACACTAATTAATATCCTCCATTGGATAAACATAAAAACAGACACCAGAACAAGGAGACTCATGCACGAGTGACCACCTCAAGGGAAATTCTGAGGTTGACAGCTGGCAGGAGAGAATCCCAGGAGAGAAATTATAATGGCACTTCAGTTCTAGAATTACTTTCATTCTTTTGACTGTGATGTATTTGCTTATTTGATGGTGAAGAGAGGGCTGGATTCAGATTACTGTACCAGCTTAGAAAAAAATGATGACGGGTTCATAGAAGGGTTAAAAAATGGTTGGGTTGAAGATTATGGTAACAGCTTCATAAAAAGTTGATGATAGTTTATCAAAATGGTTGAAAAATAGTAAGGATTGAAAGGTTTTGTATATTAGAGAATGGTTTTTAAAAAGTTGAGTAAATATTTCCATAAACTTGAAGAAAGATGAAGACCGTTTAACAAAGGTTAAGAAAATGTTGGCGAGACTGCAAGAATGACTCATAAGGAGGTTATATATGCGATAGTAAAGGTCTGATCACATACAATGATTGAACACTGTTAAGTACAGTCACAGCAGTGTTTTGGAAATGGGGATTTTTAAATACTAAGTACTGAGAAGTAATGACTGAGATAAATAGGTTAATAAGTTAGATAGTAGGTGGCCTAAAAATATAATCTAGGATCAGTCACCTGCTTTAACCAGAACAATTTGAGTATATTTTGAAAATAATACGAAATATGACTAAAAATTAACAGCCAGTGTTAAATACAAAAAAACTGTAACGAACCAATCAAGATGTCGCCCTTATAGATGGAATGCAATGGAGTCCTCAGCTTAATAATGATAATTAAATAATAATATACCCAACGGCAACGCTAGTAAGGATAATTATAGCACTAATATAAAGGACCGCTTTGTAGAATGCACTTAATAACCCATGCAATAGAAATATATCCACTACGCATTTCCGTCAGAAAATTAGGCGAACCGGAATCTTTGACATCACCTATCCTCTTAAATGATCACAGCCAATTATCATGATCATAATTCTCCCACGCGCGGTGTGGAAGTTAGTGCCCGATATCCAAAGCAGGCATCAAGCAGGTCGAGATACTGGTTGAATATACTGTGAACGCTTTGCGAGAGAGAGACTCGCAGTTATATGTACAGAGAGTTCAATTACCAAGCGTATTAGAGCGACGAACTGGAAGAAAACAACGGTAGGTCATCAGTGTCACCTTGAGGTAACCTCTTTAGTGTAACTCTGCAATTGTGAAAATTTTTGTCCGTGAACTCCAGTGACCCTATTCTACCCGTTCTTCCTCAGGTGAAAGGTATGCGCTCCTATTCTTCGAGATGCTTCGTCTTAGTCACTCCATCCAATTATAATCATATGTTATGCTATCCCTCATCCACTCCACCCATTGTTATTTTTTTCCTTATGATTAATTTACCTCCATTACACCTTATCCTTTTTCAATATGAATTAATCAATCAATTAATCACCTTAACATTTTTTCTTAATGTATCTCATTTACTCAATATCATCTATTTTTCACCTTTCATTACATTTTCTGACCATTATCATTAATTTCTATTTTTACCACAGCTGTACATGGGTGTCGAGCGCATGCAGTGTTGAACAGTTTTATAGTCGTGCTGGGTGTTCTGCATCTTGTATGTCATTTATATTGCTTCGCTATCCTTACTTTCAATTTGTTAAAATTAAATAATATTTTTGTCAATCAACCCTATTATTATACTTTTATTCCGTTCACCTTTTCTAATTTACTCAATTAGTTATGCACAAACTTTAAATATTTTATCATATTATTCATTTCACTCAATTATCTCCACCTTATTTCATTATTAACGTTGTTTATTACTCTATTTACATATTCATTATTGATTCTCACCTATCATCTATTCATAATTTATATTATCCTCTTCACTATTCATATTTTATTCATTTGCTATTCATAATCTGTATATTGCTTATCCTAGTATCTCGTTTACATCTTAAATTGGTATTTTTCTCTTTATTCTCTCATTATGTATTATTCACTTTTCCCATTTCTGTTAGCACTGAACAATTTTCGTATTATCTCTTCTTGTTTACTTTCAAATTATCACCTTCTTTTTTATTTTCATATTGTCATTGTTCTTTCTATTATTTATCATACATCATAAATATGCCCTCACCATGTTTATTACTATTCCCCTTCATAATTCATTAACTCTAGATATCCTTATTATTATTGTGTGGTGCATTTTGTAGGGCTTAGTAAACTGTTAGCATTGATATTGTATCTATCTCTTCCATTATGTATTACTTGCATTGGCAATTATTCATGCATTATCTGGACATCAGATCACCATCTGTTTTTTTTTGTGTATTGGGAGAAGTGTTACTTCTCTATTTCACATATTCTTTATCCATTATATTGTTGATTATATTATCAGCCATAACTGTTATTTCTGTTGCATTACTCATTACATCATTTATCGATACGCGGATTATATCAATTCATGTTAATTATTTAGACGTTCATCATTGTCATAGGTCAGTCATTGCTCGGATATCATCATTATTCCTTAATATGTTGCTATTATCAATCTCACTTCATTATTACCATCACGTCTTTTTGTTATCTTTTACTTTCTTGGTCCCTTTCCTCTCGCTTAACCTATCCCTTCGGACACCGGTTGTAACGTTCTAGACGCCGAGCGTGAGCCTTATAATCTCACTTATCGAGATCCTTCACTAGTCCATGACCAGTATCTCATAACTTTAATTCATAAGTCTCAATCGAGAGCCACGTATTCTGTAGGGTATGAGGCGCGGCTTAGAGGGGTGGTAATTTGTGCTGGTCTCGTGTGTCCTACTCTGCAGATCATATCGTACTGTCCTCGCGATTCAGCTTACACGATTCGCGACCTTATCTTGACATAAAGTAGTTCCCCTCACTTCTCGCGTCCTGAGGCTCACAAGTTACCCCGTATCCGGAGATGCATTCTAACGGGACCCGTTCTATCTCCACAGCGCCGCCGATGCCTCTCCCTCCGTCCGTCAACATCATTATGCGCGGTGGCGTAAATAGGCCGGCTCGCCTGAAAATCTTGGACTCGGCTCCGCGGTGGGGCGGGTGCGGGCGTGGGCGGGTGTGCGGGCGCGCTGACGTTGGGGTGGGCGTGATGCTATTCGAGTCGACAATACTTGATCATGAGTAATACTAATCAGCCATGGCCGCTATTGAGGCACTAAGTCGCTCTTATTCGTCTCAGCAGGCCGCACTGGCAGGCCGCGCGATCCACACGGGCATGCCAATCAGGAGAGCATCGCCAGAGAGCTAATGGATAGAGTATCTACTGCGGGTTCAATCGTAGAGTCAGGAGCGAGGTATCGCGTATCTAGGAGGGGGTCGGACGAGTAGAGACTTGAAGTATGGAGCTAGGAGGAGTGGTTACGGAGGTGGTGAGTATGCAAGAAAGATGTACGAGAGTTAGAGAGGCACGAGGCATGGGAGCGAGGCAGATGTGCATGCATATAAGAGAGCGAGTAAGGACAGGCCACTATTGTTGTTGAATAGCTGGCAGGGAGGAGGTAGGGAGTTCTGCATGATTATTAATGATTATGTCACTATATCATGCACTTGAATGCGAAGTGTTAAATGATTTTTTCTGAGTCAATCTCTGTTTACACACTCCAATATCGCCGCAGATTGTCTCTTAACAGGTAACAGTATAATATGCGGTAGAGTTTTGCTTTTTCGATGCTTTAGCATGAATTCGCGAGGAGCAGTTCTGTATTGAATTATCATTGTAGATTCATCGACTTACATCATTTCATCCACATTTGAACCCAATCGATGAATACACCATTCTGCAGTCATGGAGCCTCGTTGGACCATTCATTTCTGTGCATTCCCCTTACGCGCCTCCTTCTTCCTACAATTTCTTGGTGCTGCCGTGTCTTCATGTCTGTTCTGTTTGTCTAGGGTGTTACCGTAATGTTTGTCCTCCTCTTCCTCTCTCTATGCTCTCAATCTTGTCATCCTTCTCTCAGCTCTTCTTCCTCTCGTCTCTTCTCTCTCTTCTCTCTCATCTCTCTCTCTCTCGTATCTCCATCTCTCCTCTCTCATGTCACACACACACACACACAGATCGCATTTGCGAGTCATCGTGACGTTCTTTCTCTTCCACACATAACTGATCTTAAGTACTGTTACGCTTTTTAAAAGTATTATCATCATATCTATATTTTGTATGTCGAATTACATAGTTACTTTTATTCCCTTGAGATGTAATTCTTTTGTCTCAATCTAAAGCGTGTTCAAAGAGTAAAATTAGCCAATAAACATAAAAAATAAAAAAAGGAATAAAACCTCTTCTCCTCTCCCTCTCATCTCTCGTCATACGTCTCGTCTCTCTTCCTCCTGCCCTACATCTCTTGTTCGCGCCTTTCACCTTCTTCTTCTCGTTGCCCGCTCTTCTCTCTTTTCTCTCTCGCTCTCTTCCTCCGTCGCTTCGATCTCATCTTCTCATTAATTATGGGCTCTCCTCCATCTCTCTTCTCTTCTCGTTCTCTCTCTCTTCTCTCTCTCTCTCTCCCTCCCTCCTCCCTCCTCTCCCTTCCTACTCCTTCCTCTCCCTTCCTCCCCTTCCTCTCCCTTTTCTCTCCTCCCTCTCCCTTCCCTCTCTCCTCCCTCTCCCTCTCCTCTCTCCTCTCCTCCTCCCTCCCTCTCCCTCTCCCTCTCCCTCTCCCTTCGCTCCTCGTCCTCTCCCTCTCTCCCTCCTCTTCCTTCTCACCTCTCATCTTTCCCCCTCGCTCTCTCTCCCATCCCTCCCTATCCTTATACACAAAATCCTTATACTTCTTCGTCTTCTTCCATCTGACACTTCTCGTACATCTGGCAGTGATGTTGACACGATGGTTGAGACACCTGGGGATTCTGTTGCAGTTGCAAGTTCCGTTGTGGTTGTTGTTGTTGTTGGAGGCTCAGCTGTCATTGTTGCAGGCGAGGGCTCTGCTGCATTTGTATTATGAGGCTCCGTTATTCTAATTGTTGTAGGAAGCTCAGTTGTTGTTGTAGGTGGAGAAACTGTTGTAGTTGTATTTGGAGGCTCAGTTGTGGTTGTAGTAATAGGAGGAACTGATGTAGTTGTAAATGGAAGCTCTTTTGCTGTAGTTGCAGTTGGAGGCTTATTTGTTGTTGTTGTAGTTAGAGACTCAGTTGTGGTTATAGTTGTTGTTGTAGTTGGAGGTTTAGTTGTTGTTGAAGTTATAGTAGGAAGCTCAATTCTTGTAGTCATAGCTGAAGGTTCAGTTGCTGTTGTCATAATTGGAGGCTCTCTTGTTGTAGTTGGAGGCTCTGCTGTTGCAGTTGGAGCCTCAGTTGTTACAGTTGGAGGCTCAGGTGTAAATAAAGTAGTTGTAGGCTCAGTTATCATTGTTGTATTTGGAGGCACATTTGTAGTTGTAGTAAGAAGCTCTGTTGTGGTTATTGTAGTTGGAGGTTCTCTTGTAGTTGTTGTAGTTGGAGGAACTGTTGTTATAGTTGTAGTCGGGGGCTCTGGTGTAATTATAGTTGGAAGATCTATTGTTGTAGTTGTAGTTGGAAGCTCTATTGTGGTTGTTGTAGTTGGAGGCACTGTTGTTGTAGCTGTACTTATTATGATTATTACCATGATCCTCATTATATCATCATCATTATTATCATCGTTATGACTACTATAATCATTGTTATCATTATGGCTGCTTTTTCTGTTGTCACCAAAATATATATATTATTATTCATTACCATATATATTTTGATAATCATCATCATTATATATATATATATATATTATATATATATATATATATATATATATATATATATATATATATCACATATATATTATATATAGATATATATAAATATATATATATATATTATATATATATATATATATATATATATATATAATTATATAATATTATATATATATATATATATATATATGGATATACAATATATACTATTATATATATATATATAATATAATATATTATATATATATATATATATATATATATATATATAGTATATATGTATATATATATGTATATGTATATATTATATATGTATATATGTAATATAATGTATATATGTATAATGTATATGTGTGTGTGTGTGTGTGTGTGTGTGTGTGTGTGGTGTGTGTGTGTGTGGTGTGTGTGTGTGGTGTGTTTCTCTTCTTCACGTCTAATGGCGAACTTTCTGTACCACAGCAATGTTCAATCTTCTGAATAGTCTTCTACCTGCTGTTGTAGTTGGAGGCTCTGTGGTTGTGGTTGGAGGCTCTCTCTGTGTTGTGGTTGGAGGTTGCCGCTCTGTGGTTTTGTGGTTGGAGGCTCTGTGGTTGTGGTTGGAGGCTCTGTGGTTTGTGTTGGAGGCTCAGTTGTGATAGTTGTCTGTGGTAGGCTCTGTTGGTTGTGGAGTTGGAGGCTCTGTGGTTGTGGTTGGAGGAGTCTGTGGTTGTGTGGAGCTCTGTGGTTGTAGTTGGAGGCTCTGTGGTTGGGTGGAGGCTCTGTGGTTATTGTTGGTTCTGTGGTTGGAGTTGCTCAGTTGTGGTTGTGGTTGGAGGCTCTGTGGTGTAGTCGGTTGAGAGGCTCTGTGGTTGTGGTTGGAGGCTCTGTGGTTGTGGTTGGAGGCTCTGTGGTTGTGGTTGGAGGCTCTGTGGTTGTAGTTGGAAGTTCAGTTGTAGTTGGAGGCTCTGTGGTTGTGGTTGGAGGCTCTGTGGTTGTGGTTGGAAGAGTTGTTGTAGGTTGTTTCAGTTGTAGTTGGAGGCTCTGTGGTTGTAGTTGGAGGCTCTGTGGTTGTGGTTGGAGGCTCAGTTGTTGTAGTTGGAGGCTCTGTGGTTGTGGTTGGAGGCTCTGTGGTTGTGGTTGGAGGCTCTGTGGTTGTGGTTGGAGGCTCTGTGGTTGTGGTTGGAGGCTCTGTGGTTGTGGTTGGAGGCTCTGTGGTTCTGTGGTTGGAGGTCTGTGGTTGTGGTTGGAGGCTCTGTGGTTGTGGTTGGAGGCTCTGTGTTGGTAGTTGGAAGTTCAGTTGTAGTTGGAGGGCTCTTGGTTGTGGTTGGAGGCTCTGTGGTTGTGGTTGGAGATTCTGTGGTTGTGCTTGGAGGCTCTGCGGTTGTGGGTGGAGGCTCTGTGGTTGTATTTGGAAGTTCAGTTGTAGTTGGAGGCTCTGTGGTTGTAGTTGGAGGTTCTGTGGTTGTAGTTGGAGGCTCTGTGGTTGTGGTTGGAGGCTCTGTGGTTGTGGTTGGAGGCTCTGTGGTTGTGGTTGGAGGCTCTGTGGTTGTGGTTGGAGGCTCTGTGGTTGTGTTGGGGTTGCTCTGTGGTTGTGGTTGGAGGGCTTCTGTGGTTGTGTTGGAGGCTCTGTGGTGTGGTTGATTCAGTTGTTGTGGTTGGAGGCTCTGTGGTTGTGGTTGGGAGGCTCTGTTGTTGTGGTTGGCAGGCTCTGTGGTTGTGGTTGGAGGCTCTGTGGTTGTAGTTGGAGGCTCTGTGTGGTTGTGGTTGAGGCTCTGTGTTTGTAGTTGGAGGCTCTGTGGTTGTGTTGGAGGCTCCTTGTGGTTGGGTTGGAGGCTCTGTGGTTGTTGGTTGGAGGCTCTGTGGTTGTGGTTGGAGGCGTTGTGTTTGGTCTGTGGTTGTGGTTGGAGGTTCTCTTGGAGGCTTGTGGTTGTGGTTGAGGCTCTGTGGGTGTGTGGAGGCTCTGTGGTTGTGGTTGGAGGCTCTGGTGGGTTTGTGGTTGAGGCTCTGTGGTTGTAGTTGGAGCTCTGTGGTTGTGGTTGGAGGCTCTGTGGTTGTAGTTGGAGGCTCGTGGTTGTGGTTGGAGGCTCTGTTAGCTTTGTGAAGTTGTCTGTTGGTTTGGAGGCTCTGTGGTTGTGGTTGGAGGCTCTGTGGTTGTGGTTGGGCTCTGTGGTTGTGGTTAGGCTCTGTGGTTGTGGTTTGGAGGCTCTGTGGTTGCTGGTTGGAGCTCTGTGTTGTTGTCCTGGTGGTTGTGGTTGCTCTGTGGTTGTGTTGGAGGCTCTGTGGTTGGTTGGAGGCTCTGTGGTTGTGGTTGGAGCTCGTGTGGTTGTGGTTGTGGAGGCTCTGTGGTGGTTGTAGTTTTGAGGCTCTGTGGTTGTGTGGAGGCTCTGTGGTTTGTGGTTGGAGCTCTGTGGTTGGCTCTGTGGTTGTTGTTCTGTGTAGTTGGAGGCTCTGTGGTTGTGGTTGGGGCTCTGTGGTTGTGTTTGGAGG